TCCATTATGCTACTAAAGTTAGCTATGATTTTGCATCTTTTCATTTAGGGAAAAATCTGTGTTACCATAATGGAAGCATCTTTATGTTTAATCTTAAAACACACAAACCTTAAACTTGGTCTACACTTGAAAGTTGTATTGGAATAGTTACCTCAGTCAGGGTGTGAAAAACCACACCCCTGACCAACATTGCTATGCTGACATAGCCCTCACTGTAGGCACAGTTATGTTGACTGAAGAATGCTTATTTCGGGGATTTGGTATTCCTACAGATGGAAAAACCCCTTTCTGTCAGTGTAGACTGGAGCTACCCTATGGGGTTATGCCAGCATAGCCATGCTAGTATAGTCCCTGTCGTGCAGACATACCTTCAGTCTTTCCTAGATTTTCAAGAGCTTGGGCGTGGGCTTCCAGAAGAAATGAGAATTGATTTAGAAGCAAAACCTGACACTCAGATTCAGAATATTCTTGCCAAAATTACGAGGATGTGGTCTGAAATGTCAAGCTGGTGGTTCCTACTGGCACATTTGCTTTCTTCTCTCCTGCATTTTCACAACAAGCTTCCCAAAAACTTGATTCACAACAAAGAAGATAATCAAGGCCAAAGCAGATTTAATTAGCAAAGGAACAACAGAGATGGATCCTTCAGTTTTATTCCCTCACCCTTCCTCTCTTACCAGGATGAGTTCACAGTGACTGTATATATTTATCTAAGGAAAATAGACTGGGGGAATTGGACAAGAGGCACATATGTTTGAGTTTAAATGATTCTTGGACATAAGAAATTGGATGCTATTTGTATGAAGAGTCCAATCTTGTGAAAGTGTTAGTTTCAGGTTAGAGTGGCTGGTGTGTAAATTAAACCAGAGAATCTCTGAAGCATCTCCCCCACCCCAACACCACACATTCGGCATTTTTTAATCAGTCTCAGCTACTAGACGTCAGCCATTTTCTGTCTAGTAGCATATGCCAGACAAATAATGAAAGCAGGAATCTTTTTTAAAGTTCATTTATATTTTTCCTAATCAGATGTACTAAGACAGTTATTTTACATTACATTTCTAAAATTATGTTTCTCCCCACACACATTTTCACATTCATTTTCAACATGGTGATGCTATCCCCAAGTCAGGATTGTGCCAGTATTTCTATAGTAAACCCATAACTCACGTTATGCAACTTTTTACTATCATAAACCCTTTTACTTTTGTACTGCAGGACAAATCCATAACAGGAAGTACCTGAATAACATTTACTCAATTTATCAAAGAAAATAGGCATTCAGAACAAAGGCACACACTCAGGTGAATATGCATTTTATCAAAATGTACAACAGAACATTAGGAGACCATCAATTAAAGTCACATTTCCAACAAACATTTTTATCTACTTTTGTTACAAGTAACCCCTACGATTACTACAACAGAAAGAGAAGTTCTCTTCCATTTGTTCACTTTGCACTTCTGACAACATGTACACCCAGTTTCACTGTTTTGCGGATGCTGCCCGCCTTTCCCAGGCTCTGCAAAAAGGTGTTTAATGGTCATAGCAGCAGCAGAGCTAGTATAAAAAGGTTGGGAGGTAGATGTGCGGAGAGAAAGGAAAAGGGAGAGAAAGGATGGACCTGAGCATGTTCAGTGGTGTTGTCTTCAGGACCACTCAAAATTTCCTTGTGAATAAGCAAAGGAGCAGTTATACTTTAAGTGTGTGTTTGTTTCATTTCTTTACAAAAAAATCAGGATATGTTTTAAAGCATGCTCCTCAGAAAGAGGTTTTAATAGTGAATTTTAAAAAAGTATTCAATGTGACTGGCTCTCTTGACAGCTGTGCCTCTGCAGGTGAAAAGAGAAGCACAAGCCAAGTGGTGGCACCTGCAGGAACAACACCTTTGTAAGGCAATAAAAGGGAGTGGGCTGCAGACTTGTGCAAGTGTAGGTAGCAGTTGCTGAACTACAGTCTAACAGATATGCAGGGGGTGGGGCCATGGCCCTAACCAAACACTCTCCCTCTGCAGTTTCTAGCACTAGCTTCAGAACGGGCAGGCTCTTTTGAAGACCCCAGCATCTGTAATCAAACTGTGGCCAAGGGTGGAAAGTGGGGTTATGTCATCTTACTCCTCACACGCTCTTCCTCCTAATGCTAGGGAGCCCCTAATTTGGCCCTAAGTATGTAAACTCGGTGGGGCAGGGGTCATGACTTCTTACAAGTCTGTAAACAACTCAGGATAATATGGTACTGCAAAATAGTAAACAGAACAAAGAATCAAAGTGAGGCCAACATATACTCTTTAAAAATGAGCAGCACAGTGCAAAGGTGAGCAAAGTGCCAGCTTTAATTTTCAATTTAAATTGCCTTTTGGAATTTGAGTCACAACTAGGGTGCTTTATTAGAGACTAAAATGGAAGTTAATGAAATATATATTTACCATTCAAAATAATTCTGCTTCCAGTCCACATGTCTTGTCTATCCTGTTTACTGTAACTATGTATTTAAAAACCCAGGCACTTACTTACAGCTGAAGTTTCGTCCACAGCCTGGAAAGGTATTTGTTCTGTTTTGAAAGCACTGACAATTGTATCACACACATTATACAAATATGTTTAGTTGTAATAATTAAAATATTCTTGACAACACTCTTTCAAGGCCTCAGTAATGTTCCTTTGTAGCAGAAGCATATGCAAGAAGTGTATATTACATTCAGGAGCACAATATTTGAGTTTCACTAAAATAGTGGATATACAAGTCAAAAGTCTGAAAACAAATCAAAAAGCCACTGCTATTTAATACAGTCAATGTTAAAGTATGCAAGAAGCATAAAATGTTATTCACAGTTTGCAAAGTTAAATAAAAATCTTAGGATTTGAAATACACATTTTAAAAGAGAAAAATTCACTTGTCACAGCCTCTCTATAACAAAGACAGTTGAGTAGATATTGTGCAGAAAAGACTGAAGGAGAAAAGAATCATGATAGCAGCAAATGTTCAGTTGAACTAGTTTTGAAATCAACATAAGAAACAGTGTAGACATTTTCCTGCTGTGATTTAAAAATGTAAGACCATATGAGTGAAATATTATGAACTGAAATCTTTTACCACCAACTTTGTCCTGGCATTGTTTTAATTAGACTAATCACAGCTGACTGTGAAAAAGAAAAATTAGGATTAACATCTAGTGATTTAGAACAAATAAATGATGCGGAAGGGGTGCTTATAGTCCAAAAATGAGTGTAAGAACACCACAGTGGCATCTTCAATTGTTCAAAAGATGTCTTTCTAATTGTGAGGCCTGCAATCCTAGATAGGAAAGTCAAACTGGATGCTTTCTGACTCATTTATGACCCAGGACAATTCTGCAAGTAGAATTTAAGAAGTGCATTGGTTTGTGCCAAAAAGGATTTACTCTATAGTAACTATGTTGGCTTTGCAGTGCTAACGGCAAATAGCAATTAAAAAAAAATGTTTTTCCCCCTCAATATAGTAAGTCACAGGAAGTAGAGATGACTAAGAAGTCATTTACATATAGTCACTTTCATATCAATAACTACTCATGATAGACATTCTGTTCTCATAGCAAGATAATCTCTACTGCTGTTCTTGCGGCCAAATTAACCACAGTCCTGATTAATACTATGTTATTCAGGGAGTGGACACCAGAATCTTAGGACTGCTTTTCCCTAACCCTGGTTTTGCTGATTAGTTTTGTAAAGTGTGGTATGGCAGCAGTATCTGTAGTGGAGAAAGATGTGCTGGTGGGTCTAAGTGTGCATCTTCCCTCTCCTCTGTGTTCAGAAGTGTAGTTTTAGGACTGAATAAGAGTATATTGGAGAAGAGGAGACAAATGCCTGAAAAAGTCTTGGATGGTAGGTGAGAAGAATGCGTATGTATATATAATAAATTTACACACAAAGAATGGAGTAATTAAAGAGAACAGAACTGGAATATGTAGAGGAAAAAGACAGCATGGGTTAGGAGGAAAAAGTAAAACAAAACATAGAAGCTGGGGGGGAAAATGAGCGCACTGTTTACAATAGAATTATACTTATTCTTACAGATGGAAGTGCTGTTTCCAGAAAAGCCATGAAGTAGCAGAATCTAAAATGAAGCACAAACCACTTGACCAAAAGGCAGAGACAGAGGGAGGAGTGAAAAGAGAAAGAAGTGAGTAATTTCTTTACATTAGAATGCCTGCAAACTCCATCTGCTATAAAAGTTGTCCAAGAAAACACACTTCCTTCTTTCCTGGCAGTTTTATTTAGGATGTATAAACGTCAGTAAATTCAGACCCTTCCTTCAGGATCTTGTTCCTACCGTCATTCTTTATAACGAAGTCCCTTTATTTCAGTCTAGCATGATGGTGCAAGTGCCTGCTTACAGCTTCTTGCCTAGTCTTTGTTACTCATCCCTCAAGTTGCCTATGCAGATTCCAACCTCAGACAAAGATACCTTAGTTTAAGCCCTCTCTCCTAGAATTTCAGCCCACATGTGCCAGATTCTTGAAAATGTCTGTCCTGGGCCTTCCCTGAACGCTCTCTAGCCTCTGATCCAATGTCAGGCCTTGAATATCCATCCAACGTATTAATATCCTAAACACAGGACAAGTTTTAGGGGTCACTAATCTCTTTGGCCCTAGGCTTTATATTCTGAATCTGTTTTTGATGCAAACTTTACTGAGAATTTAGCCAAAGTCAAAACAGAAAATGCCATGTGTCTCCAAGTTCTCTTAAGAGCCATGCAATATTTTATAAAGATCATTATGCAGTGGAAACAGTTTTATTTGACTTTGATATTATAATATATGGACAATAGATTTAGAATAATACAAATTATTTGTTTTCTTCAAATACATTGAGTGAAAATAGCATCCTGAAAATGTATTTTTGAAGTACTTTACTAAGAATTTTTACCTATTGTTCTAGTTATTAAATTATGTGACATTTTAAATAAAAATAAAATGTGACCAGTTTGCCAAATTATGTTCTCAAGTAATCAGTAACTTTTCACTCCTGAATACCAACTTGCTTAATCTAAAAATGTTTAGAAGAAACAATGAAATAGTTTGGTGCAGTCAGAACCTGGAGACGGAAAGTAATAGAGCACATTCTTTAGAAACCCTCTATTCCCATTTTTAGGCTAAGATGCATTGCTTAAGGTAATTTGCAAAACCAGAAAAATAAAACTGTCAATGCTACACATGTAAGGTTCATTCTTCTATAGTAAATTTTCTTCTTTATTAGTGCAATTGTGGAATGTAAATGTCTAAAAGATTTCCGTTGTCTCATCGAAGTCCTGACCAACTGTGAAGGTACGAAGCCCAACCAGAGGGCCGTGATGCACTTTCTTCCTCACCTGAAGGGAGGAAAAATATGCTTATAATCTTCACCAGCACTGAACAACAACTATGCACAAGTGAACTGAATGATGCAGTCTTATTCAGGAAAGACACAAAAAATTTACTGCTATCAGTTTTCCTACATTCAAATCCCATCCTTATGTTCGCCAGTTATCTTTTTTGAAGAGATATCTTTTAAAATACACTCTGGAAAACTGCTACCACATTGACAGATTTTGTCATCATGAAACACCACTGTCCAGCGTACACTTTGTTTAGAGTAGTGGTCTCCAACCTTTTTACACACAAGATCACTTTTTGAATTTAAGTGCAACCCAGGATCTACCCTGCCCCTTCCCTGAGGCCCCGCTCTGCTCACTCCATCCCCCCCCCCTCAGTCACTCGCTCTCCCCGACCCTCACTCACTTTCAGCGGGTTCTGGGCTGGGGCCGAGGGGTTTGGAATGTGGGAGGGGGCTCCGGGCTGAGCCTGGGGCAGGGGGTGCAAGAGTGGGTGAGGGGTGCAAGCTCTTGCAGGGAATTTGGGTGTAGGTAGGGGCTCCGGGCTGGGGCAGTGTGTTGGGGTGCAGGAGGGGGTACGGGCTCTGGGAGGGAGTTTGGGTGCAGGAGGGGGTACAGGGTGCTAGATATGGGAGGAGGCTCAGGGCTGGGGCAGGGGTTTGGGGTGCTGGCTCCGGGAGGGGGCTCAGGACTGGGTTGCAGGTTCCCGCCAGGCTGCACTTACCTCAGGCTGCTCCCGGTCAGCAGCGCAGCAAGGCTAAGGCAGGCTCCCTGCCTGTCCCAGCCTCACCCCGCTCCCGGAAGCGGCCAGCACGCCCCTGCGGCCCCTGGGGTCAAGAAGAGGGTGGGGTCATGTGGCTCTGCGCGCTGCCACTCTCTGCAGGCACTGCCCCCGCAGCTCCCATTGGCCGCAGTTCCCCATTCCCGGCCAATGGGTGCTGCGGCGGCGGTGCTTGCAGGCAGGAGCAGTGCACGAAGACCCGTGCCCCGCCCCAGAGGTCACGGGGACATGCTGGCTGCTTCTGGGAGTGGTGTGGGGCCGGTGCAGGCAGGGAGCCTGCCTAGCCCCGCTACACCGCTGGACTTTTAGCAGCCGGAGATCGCGATCGACTGGCCGAGGCTCCAAGATGGACCAGTCGATCGCGATCTATGGGTCGGTGACCACTGGGTTAGAGTATTTCAGGAAGCATGTCTGCATTTGGCAAGGAGATAAAAGGCCTGTTTCATCTCCTTTATTGACTTCACCTTGAAGATCCCATGTTAATGGTAAGCTCTATTCCCTAGGGACTGCCAGAACAGCAGTACTCAATGCTAGGAACCTTTTCTGCCTTGCCATTCCCATTATAAATCCTCCCACTTAGTGCATTAGTGTCTCTACACATTTCACTGTCATGCTCACTTCTCCTTACTTTATGTTCAGGAGTAACTGACTTATTCCTTATTTAAAAAATGATCTGGAAAGTGCACAAACTGCAGCGGACAATCAAAAATGTTTAACTAATTACAATTTCCCTAAATAGGAAAAATGACAATAAATACCCAATAAAAATGTTTTGAATGGGATAATACAAAAAGCCTATTGCAAATTGCAGAGTGAATTATGTTTGACAAGTACTCTTAACACTTACCATAAGAGGGAGCGGTCTACTTACACAATTCTTGCAGAGGCCTGAATTTTCCTAGATCCTTGTACTTATGGGATATTTGTTGGAGAGTATTTTCAAAAGGAGACATTAGCCACTAAAAAGTTAGTTTTATAATATGGCCTTTATTAATTAAAATTAGACTAGAACTTCTAGTTTCTTGGGAGAGCATCTGCCACGGGAGCTACTTCACAGTACCTTTTTTCCCCATTATCACTTTGAATGACATCTTCAGAAAAGTAACTATGTCTGCTATGAGGTTTAACAAGAAAGGAAGTTATATCTAACTGTTTCTTAAAGGTTGTATTTTTACGTCAGATAATTTTATTTTTAACTTTTGGCTAACAGTCTTGTTTTATTACAGTTATGAATATCTTAACTCCCTTCTAAATGACCAGAATAGTTTTATTCCCTGTCTGTTTACACCATGTTCTTGATCTTTATTGTTCTGGAAGATCTGCACAGAAGGAAGTCACACTAGGTTTCATTTTTCTTTTCTACTTTCATATTCTGTTTCTGCAGCTTTTTGATAATAATACAGAAGTACCTCTCATACCGTGGGCAATTGCAACAAGTTTTCCCTTCTCTTCAGGGCTGAGCTGCAACATGGTATCCATTACGGGAAGAAGCCTCTCTCTTTCACTGCCTGACTTCAGAAATATAAATTGCAGCAGAACATTTTTCAAGTATTCCAGATTAGCAACAGACTTCTCTCGCTCTTGGTTCCTTTCCAGTCGTCTTACTTCACTCTTAAGAAGCTGCAGGCAGAAAGAAACCATTAAATATTACATTTTCTTATTGAGCTTTATAAAATGAACGACTGAATACAAACTAATCTGGGAACACAGCACATGTATATCAGACATGCAATAAGGTATTGAAAGTGTTCAGTAGTTTACATAAGTTGTGTTCTGGGCAAAGATTCCATGAGGCCTGAATGTACAGCTGGCCTCCAGATAACATTATTGGTTCAGAATTCATTTAACCTATTTATAATCTTAAACACCTTTTGGATAAATTTTGCAATATTAGTTAAAAGTAATTTAGTTGTATAAAGAAAGTATGGGGGAACAAGGTACAGACTGTGCAATTCTGGTGATCGGGAGTAAAATTCGAAGGGTTGAGTGGATATGGTACTTGGGTTATGTTTTGGCAAACTATTCACTCATCTAATTAGGAAATATTTATATAGCAAAACAAGCAGTATGCACCCAAATTTTGATATTAATAGACTGTGCACCTCACAAGAATGCTGTTTTGAAGACTGGCTTCAAAAAGCTGTTACCTTCAGTTGTAGAAAATGCAAATTGGCTTTGTTAACTAAAGAGGTAAAACACAGTCTTTGAAAACAGCACCTTTGAATCCACCAACACTGATCAAATTGAGTAGCTCCTAAAATAAAATTAGATAAGTAACAGTCATCCGATGCTATATCAGCTCAGTATTCGAGCATCCAAGGAATCTTAAGCTCAACCTACATTTACATCCATTGAGTAAAGGGGGGGGGGGAGGGGAGAGGAAAATTAGTTAGATGGGAAGAACCTAAACTGTTGTGCTTTTTCTGAGAAGAAATGTCATCTTTTTTTGCATGTGAGAACTGACTTTTATCTTACCAAGTACACCTCTAGCCCGATATAACGCTGTCCTCGGGAGCCAAAAAAATCTTACCGTGTTATAGGTGAAACCACGTTATAGCAAACTTGCTTTGATCCACAGGAATGCGCAGCCCTGCCCCCCCCCCCCGAGCACTGCTTTACTGTGTTATATCCGAATTCGTGTTATATCGGGTCGCGTTATATTGGGGTAGAGGTGTACTAGGTGTATTTTGTCAATGTTATGTACATACAGTATGTGGAATTTGAAAAAATTATAGGTAGTTAAATTTTGCATCTCACCAAATTTCAAACATTCCAGTTTGAATAATAAGTTCTGTGAAACAACTAATTTGGTATTAAGGTATAAAAGGATTTGCTTTGGAACACATACATACATACATACAGTAAACAAAACAAAAACAACCCCCCCTAAAGAGCCATATCTAAAATGTCAGTGAGTGCATGACTACTAACCTTAATTTGTTCCATTAATATTGCATTGGTTGCTTCCGATTCATGAAGCAATCCATTCAAATGATCAGCACTTTTTGTTGTTGTGTTTAGCTTCTGGACCAGCTCTTCTTTGGTGAGTTCTGTTTGCCATTGAGGTGGCTCTGCAATTTTATATTTCAAAAAAAGATTACTTTGGAGTTTACTTTACATAGTACTTTACATTTGGACTGATGGTTTATCAGGGTCATTTTTCAGAATTACACTGGTATCATGGTCGCAACATTAAATCACAGAAATGAAAAACTCTGAGAAGTCAGATTTTACATCACCACCCATTTCTATTCTTGCTGCCAAATTTTTGGTTTGTGATTTTTTTTTTGTATATACACGAAATTAAAAAAAGTACTAAAAAGAGTTTGTAGCAACCAAACTATTTTTGTAGAATCTGACTTCAGTGTTTCTTTAAAAGTTTGGTGGAGGGACTCCTGGGTTGTTTTTCCTTTCAGAGGAATTAAATATTTCCTCAAAATTGTTTTTGGACTTGCTTGTCATCTCTGTACAATTAGCTGGTTGTCTTGCATTTCCCTGCTTTACTTTTTTGCAACTTCAAAAGCAGATCTATGCACTTTGGCACAAGTTCCCGCTGATTTTATGTTCTCCAGTAGCCCAATCCAGCTCATATTAAAGCCAGTGGAAGTTTTGTGTCTGATTTTAATAGGAGTTGGATGAAAACTTAATAGTTTTCTATGCAGTATTCTGAGCTGTTCTCTTCACACTCACAGTTCCTACAGTTTACCTACTCATGCAACCATCTGTTCTCTTTCCCATGTAAGTGCCTAAATATAATTTTTTTTTTACAAATTTTAAGTAGTCTTGGAATCCATGAATAAAAACTGTAACAAACATAACCCTTAATCCCTATTCGAGGACAAAGCTTATACAAAAATTAATAATGTCAATGTACACGCAGTGCTAACAATGCATAGGGGTCTAGTGTCTGCAGTATGAAGGAATCAAAGTTCAGATTTCTAACCCCTAAGAGATGCTAAGTTACTCTCATAAGCCTCAGCCAACTCCTCAAGTAGCAATGTTTGTGGTAGCAGCAGTGTCCAATGCTCTATTACAAGGCATGGGATTCTTAAGGCGCAGCTTAGGCTGAGCATTACAGCACCTAACTTTTAGATGACCTGCTGCCAAGTGGAATTCACAACCCCGAGTTAGGAGCCCAGGCTTTTTATACAATGCCTGAGGAGAGTCAGGTACCTAAAAAGGGGGATTTACAGAAACCAACATGTTGAGTGGAGAGCCTATCTAGCCATCTAAGCTAGCCAGTAGGAAATGCTCAGGAGAGGGGTGTGGCCTAAGTCCTACCCCTCAAAGGGAGTTAGGTGCGTATCTCCATTCAGATGTCACAGCCACAAACCATCTCCTGGGGATAGGTGCCTAATCCAAGTCACTCATTTTTGTGTGTGTACACGTACGTACACATGCGCGTGCACACAGACACTTTTAGCCCATAGCCCAGTGGTTAAACACTCCCCCAGGATGCGGGAGAACTGGGTTTGAATCCCCACTCTGCCTGATGTAAAGCAAGGACTTGAACCCACCTCTCCCACATCCCACTGAGCTAAGGGGTATTCCTGGGTGAGACTCTCAATCTCTTCTGTTGAAGCTGTTCCACTTGTACAAAATATATTTAAAAATAATCATTACACCAGAGAGAGAGAGCAGAGAGAGAGTGTTAGGGCACTCCACTGGGATGTGGGAGACCCATATTCAAGTCCCTGCTCCACATCAGGCTGAGGGGGACTTGAACCTGGGCCTCCCACATCCTACGTGAGTGCTCTAACTATGAGGCAACTGGGTAAAAGGTCATCACCACCACATTCTCCTCCATTTTATGCATGGCCCAGTCCAGGGGATGTGATCTATGCTGGCCTGTGAGCACATCTACTGTATGGGGCCTTGCAAATGAGATCTTTGGCAGAAATTTAGGCATGTAGGGGACCTTACCAGTGGAAATTTAGGTGCCTATAGGGTTAAGCGGCAGCTGAACAGGGGTTTTCAGGATCTAGATTTTGGACTTAGGCATCCCACCCAAGGTTGCTGCAACACCAGGGAGGAAAAGTTATGGTAGTAAAGTGGGAGAAAGAATGATAAGTATCTCAATGCTCTAAGGGACAACTTTCTATGGTGCCCAAAAAAGTACCAAGTAATATTGATTCTATAACTCAAATTAGTTAAGTACGTAAACATCTATTTAAAAAAGGTTTTACTTGCCAAATTTTGCTTCAGGAGAATTAAGAAGTTGTTCCAATGATGGCATATAGGTACTGGCAGAAGACACAGACTCTGTGTCAGTTGTTTCCATTCCTTCTCCCTCTTCCCTAGCTACAGTGTGCACATCAAGAAGAGGAAGGTCAGTGTTTCTCCGTTCTCGCAAGTTCTTCACTGGCAGGTTTGAAACAGCTGGACCTGAAAAAGAATTTCTTTCGGATAGCATACATTAATAAATAACACGGCTGTATGCTGGGAATGATCACCCAGAAGCCACTCAACCGGATATGAAGGAGTATGTGAGAACTAAAGACGCTGAATACATCTTTTAGCATCTTAAATTAAGGAGATGTACACAAGCAGTAAAGTGAAATAAAGCATCATGTGAGAAGTTCAGTCATCCTTAAAGAATGAATAAAGCATATTTCACAATATAAAACACAGCCTTTCACTTTGAAGACACCACTATAACTAGAGCCGAGATTACCAGTGATTTAAAGCGTCTTTTAAATGGCCTATGTGAAACAAGTCATTGGTGTAACCATCTTAAATTTGGGTGGTGGGGGGCAGTGAGAAGTAAGACCAGAGATGAGGCTGCATTAATCCTACAGCCACAGTGAAAGGGAAAGAAGGAGTGGACAGTTACCCCCTAAGAGATTGCCCCTATGAACCAAATGGGTCGTCTCAGTCCAGTTTCTGGTCCGCGCCCACTCACCCACACAAATCCCAGCAGAAAACATTCTGGATCATCATATCTTTTTTCAGTACATATGCTAAAAATATGAAAGGATGGTACTGGTTTTACCTTTAGAAAGATACGGACTAAGGGTTAGTTTTTTACTTTTTTGGAAGGGTGAGCATTTCACAGCACACCTGTTCATTTAACTATAATTAGTATATGGTTCAGTAACAGTGGTGAGGGATTTTTTAAAAATAATATTGTAGATTGTTTCAATTTAGAAACTAAACCTCAAGGGATTTTAGTGCTTTTGAAAGTTGCATGTTGACGGATGTGGAGAAAGAGACAGAGACACATTCACAGAAGAAATAAAGTACAAGCAGAAGCAGCATAAACACAAGCCCCTTCTTTCCCTGCGCACCCCTCCCGCATCTACAATGTGCCTAGATCCTGAACTGGGGAGACCCCTTCTAAAAGTGACTTTAGCTCAGCTTCCAGAATCAGTCTTCAATTTATTTTTTGAGACTGCCAACAAGGGTGCCAATTTGGATGGTAATCTTTATAATACAGACTGACCCATTAGGAAATGAGCTGAGACCACCAATTCACTCTATACATGTCACTGTGTAGCCAAATAGCATTTGGGGACTACCAGCTTAGGTTAGGTTTCAACCCATGACCATGAGTTCAAAGGCTCTATTTCCTATTATCAATACCCTGAACCATTCAATACCCTGGCTTCTCAGTAAATTTTTAAATAAAAAACAAGACAACACTCATCTCTATCAGACACATATACCACTGATCTATATATGGCTAAAAAGCGGTTTTATAACTGCTTGGTACAACATTTAAGAATGTATTACAAATACAGTTTACTACACATTATCACATTCTATTGCTCTTTTGCTAACCCAAGATCTAAGCTACACAGCTGTCTGTTGTGATGAGAAGTTGTAGCTTCTTCTATATGTGCCGAATCAGTAGCTTTACTCCTTATCTTGGAAGCAGATGTCCAATGGGCTCTCCAAAACCTGACACAAATGAACAGGCAGAGCAATAATGACTCTTAATTTCTAGAATGACTCTTCCTCCCTCTGTCAGTAAGGAGACAGAATCCCAGATGTCACAGAGGAAATAAAGTGACGTAATTGACATAAGTACTGTATCAATAGTTGAGACCAATATCAGTGCTTACCATTTTATATGTAAAACACAGTTGGTAAATGGGTACACCATATGTTTTTGGAGACGTTTGTATGATTATCGACTACAGAGAAGTGATGAATCAGTCTGCCACTTAGCTAAACATGAATAATCAACAAAAAGGGAGTTTTTGGGCTGCATGACTGTACAAACTTACCTCTTGTGCTAGGTTCACTCTTAAGTTGGAAGAATTGGGCTTCTACCTTGGATAGCTGCTGTTGCAAGGTCTCTACAGTCTTCCTATGCTCTTCTTGCAAATGCCTCACTTGATCTCTAAAACTGTTCCGAAGAGCTTCGTTCTGGGTCGTCAGCTGACTCACAGTCTGTGCATGCTCTGACTTCAACACCATGTTCTCAGACTGTATAGTACAGACTCTGAAAGGTGAATGTTTACCTTATAGATGATTCCCAATT